ATATATACAGCTGGCTGGGATAGGGAGGCATAAATAGCAGCAAGTATAGCTGGATGAGAGATGAGAGCATCACGGAGGAAAACAAGACACATCACATCCCACACACTATAGAAACGAACTTTAAAAACTCCTTCGAGCCGGATTCGAACCAGCGACCTAAGGATGTCAATTGTTTATGAACTACAGTCCTCCGCTCTACCAACTGAGCTATCGAAGGGGCTCCTCATTCAGTCAATATACACCAATAATGTTATTTCCTACCAGTCGCCTTTCTTTAGGCTGTCTACGGTAGCTCCTTCCTCCAGTAAATAGCTCACACACTTTATATGGCCCATAGAGGCGGCTTCATGCAGCGGTCTCTTATAGTCATTATTGTACACATCTACGTCTGCGCCAAGTTGCTTTATAAGGAACTCCATAACATCCAAGCGTCCGTGTCTTGAGGCATAGTGCAGCAGAGTGTCTCCAGAGCGCCCGAAGTGTGTGCTGCTGATAGAAGCAGCAGCTGCAGGGCTCCATGATTTCACATGTTTCTGCAGACAGATTAACCGTCCCTCCTGAGTTAGCTTCACCAGCAGTTTCAAGTCACCCTCATCCATAACCATTTACTGGACAAGATTAACTAAACTCAGTAGATACAACGAAACGCTATGACAAAAGGCAGGAAATAAGATGGCCAAGCGCAAATGATTACGGAGAATTGTTACTAATCTGAAATTAGATAATAATATTTAACCTGAATAATAAAGAAACTTCAGTTACAGTAAACTATTAGCTAACCTTAGTTCAAAATGTAAAAAAACACCTGAGCTCCGATTTCGTTGTCCTCAAATAGATATAAATTCTTGCAAATTATTGGAGACAGGGTAAGTAAGCTAAAAAAAAAACAGTTGAGAAATAAAGAACCTTTAGGGTGAGAACAAAATAAAGTAAATCCAGATTATCAGATTATCTCGAAACCGCGCAAACGCATGCGAGGAATTTAAGGGAACAGGGTTTATCATTTGTTGTCCGTTTGAAGCACAAATAATCACTAGGAACTATGGGAAATGTAGTTCTTTTTCCTGCGTGTTTATTTGCGGCGTCACTCCTTTTTTATTGAACAAAACTTATTTACATTTTTTAGTAGGAATCACCACATTTCTTTCTTACATAAAAAAGAGAAGACAACATATATCATAAACTTAAATACGGCAAAGCAACAGAGATAAATGAATAGATAAACAGGCAGTATTATTACAACTGATGGAAACATACAAAACTTAAGAAAAAAAAGAAAAATTTTAAAGAGCCAGCCTCATTCTGCAATAAGACAGTTCCTTACATCACGTTAGCTTTAGCATTTTGCTGAATCAAACACCAGAAATTTTGACATGTCACTACATAGTTTTTGTATATGTCCATATTTGTCAGATAACAGAGATAAAGCTGAGTAGAAGATTTTGAGTTCGTTTAGAAACTTATTACTGAAGGTTTTTGATTTTTCCATTTACATGCATGTATATGATATCTTCCCATATTTATAGCAATATTGACCATATCAGATAAGTCCTTCGGGAATGTCATTCTAGTATGTAAATATTTGATTTATCTCAAATGTTCCAATGGCTAACTGTTTAAGTTCAAATTTCAAATTTGAACCACTCCCATTTGTTCATATGTAACATATCCAGACCATTTATGTTTTGAAAAAGGATTAACTTGCCTACAGAATTCGGCATTAAGTAATAAACTATTATTGAATTTCCAGATGTTTGCTGATGATTTGGGGTGTTGAATTATTCATAATGTCAATTTAATCATACAGTGGTTAAATGTACCATTTAAAAACATCTTTAGCTATAATCTGAGAAATTAACCATTAATCTAATCTTGAACACTGATTGTTATCTGCAGAGTTAGACCAAGTGTATTTTACAGAGGTGGGGTTGGATATTCTCCAGTAATCCACTGTATGTGTTGATGTACATAGACTGGGCAAAATATCATCATATGCAGGATGCTGACCTCTATGAGGTTTGCCATCAATGTCTGAATCAGGAGCTATATTATAATAACCACCCATTACCACTTTCTATGTCATAAAAGTAACTTTCCACTCATTTACGGGCAAACTTAGTCTTTCCATCATGACCTTATTAGTTTTTCTGTTGTCATAACCATACACACAAAGTAGAATATATCTCAGTCAATACCCTTTACGGCATATTCAGAAGCATTTTTCATTTTTTGTTTTGTTTTGTTTTTTGACTGGATTGTGATCACCATGGTATTTTTTATACATAAATAAATGGAATGGAATGGAGTTTTAATGTCTGTAATTTTTCAGTGTGAGAAATTGGGAATATGGAGTGAGAGTGTGTGAGAAGACACTGAGATGGGTGAGTCTCACTGTCAATGGGTGAGAGTTGACAGCCCTGAAGGAATACGAAACCTCTTAGAGGGCATCATGCATCAGATGCCAAGGAAATAAAGTTCAATAAAAACATCCTGTGTTAAAAGAATGACCAAAGCTCAGTTTAAAACATCAGCCGGTCATATTTTCTGTGAGCCTCTCCTACAGGTTCTTATTAGCTTTGATCTGAAAGTTGACGCCCTGAAACTTTAAAAAAAAATCTCAGCAGCTTCTCTGACACCTTTTGGTACTTCTGGCACATTCTGTCCTCCAGTCCCTCCACAGGGTCCATTAGGGTGTGTCTCCTCAGACCTGCAAAGCTGTGATGAAACCTTACATGAGTCTCACAGTAGGAGCTGAGACACGCCATGCAGGACTTCTGAGCCGACTTAGTACAGACGTCACACAGAACCTCTCCTGCATTGGCTTGATGCTCCGCGCTGCGACTACTGGCTGTCTCCTTTGCAGAGTTGCACAATAGATCCATTAGTTCAGACCTTACTGAATTAACTTCAAGTTTGGGTCTGGTGCTGAAGCATTCATTACACAGAGGACAGCGACATCTGTCAGTGTTGTCCCAGTATTGGGTGATGCATTTGCAGCAGAAGTCGTGTCTACATGGTAGGGTTACAGGCTCGGCGAAGGAATCCAGGCAGATGCAGCACAGCAGCTTCTCAGAGGCAGAGATCTCATCAGCTGCCATTCCTTAAAACAAAAAGGGACCAGATCTCAGAGACTGATATTAGAAGCCAGGAATAATTATTGTTACTTTTTTTTTTCTTTTCAGAAAAACAAAAAAGCAAATTCTCCAAAAGTATTAAAAAACTAATTTGAACAAACTGCACATGAATCTTATACCGATATTATGCTTTACACTGTGTTAGAAAAATGCTGTAAATGAGTTTCAGCTTTCTTGGATTTAACTCAGTTTGTATGAAATGGAGGTAAAGCTATTCGGACTTACCAGGTGCAGAGTTCTCTCCTGTCTGACTTGTACATGCAAGAAAATTATTTTTTTTTTAAAGCTGTTTGACCAAACAGTGTAGGATAAAAACATTTTACACATAAAGACATTCTAGTCCTTGAATATATAAGCAGGGGTGGATCCAGGATTTTTCAAAGGGGGTTTTGTAGCTAAATGACCTTCTTTACTCTTTGTGGGCACGTGTGTGTGCAGGGGGGGATTTTATTTTACAAAGAGGTATTTTACTTAAGTAACCTGATAGTATGGGTGGAGGTGATGATTGATGTTTGTAGCAGATCTAAAATTATCTAAAATGGCGAATGTGTTTTCACCCTTTGATTCTTACTTTTCATGACTTTGGTGGATTATCACGACACTTGAGTTTATTTTATGGGAAATACAACTGGATGTTTTCTGTGGAGTAACACGGAAAAAACAAGACGCCTTTTTACCATTATGGATCAACACCCTAATGGCAGAAGACGTACACAAGGTAAGAGCTAGAAGTTATAAATCATAAATTGATGTCGGATTAATAGTTATTGGTGTTTGTAGTTGTTACGTCCACACAAGACACAACATATTTAAGGACACGAGACAAAAGAAGATGAGGGTTCAATCAGTTTTTATTTTCAACTTCTCCACTTTTCTGATCTTTCCTAAAAGGGAAAAGGAAAAAGATAGTCAGTTGGCCCTCAAATCTCGTGTCCCATAAAAAAAAAAAATCGAAAAAAAAAGAGAAAAGAGAAACAAAACCTTCCAAAAAGTATTAACAGAAAGATGGACTTGGTGAGCCGGCAAAAACGAACAAAACGGCACAGCCGGGGGGCCAACCCTATACAGGGCCGTCGAAGCCTCAGCTGAAGCCGGACTAAGCAAAAAAGAAAAAAAGGAAAAACCTATATTAAAGAAAAGATCGAAAACAGGACCACCGGTCCCACCAGGCCAAAATTGGCAAACCACAAAAAGATACAAAAATTACCACATGGCAGCCTCGAGTCTAAGTTTCAGCCTGCTACCACAGGTCGAACTCAGGAGCGAAAAGAAAAGCGGCGTCTCAGCAGGGCGGAGTGGGGCGGCCTGGAGCGTTCTCACATTCTGAACGCCGGCCTATTTATAGGCGGGCCACAATGCCGCAAATTAACGTAATTAAATAAACAAAAGAAATAATAATGTGCCTGGAGCACATAACAGTAGTGTATGATTGGCTTACAATGTATTTTATGGTTGTTTTGCTGTTGGGATTTATCTTCAACCTGTTGGGATTTATCTACATACAAGCGTGATATTTGATGTGGCAAAAAATGTGATGTCATATTGACCTGATATCGGGCGGTAGGTGTTAAGAGGCTAAATCATAAATATGCCTATATTTACACTATATTGTGATCAAGTTGGTTTGTAGTAACCTTCCTGTTTGATTGGACCAGAGATCCAAAAGAAACTGTTGTTTGATTTTTTTGTTTGGCCTAAAATTGCCTCCCCTTTCACAGTCTCCACGTGATTGCTTTGACAATGTATTGTGAATCGCGTCACGTTTGCTGAGTTTGTAAAGTTTCATTATTCTCCTGCTATGCGAAATAGGTCAGGGGCATTACTTATTGAACGCCCCTCGGACATGTATATTGGATGGTGTAACTGATGATGTTTGTGGTCATATGGTGAGTAGGAGAAATTGATGAATAATTGGATCAATGGAAATACATATGCATTTATCAATATCAATGTATTTGGAACATTCACTCACGAAATATGTGTTTTGATAGTTTTTGTTGTAAAATGCGATCTTACCAAAATTTTTGTAGCGTTTAAAAACGAAATAAATATACTTACTTTGTCCTAAGAAAAGACTGTATACTTTTCTGTCCATATGTCATTCTTAATTTTAATTTCTTTATCTTTTTCAGTGTAGTGTTGTTGTATGTCAATGTTTATATCTTCATTTGATGATCTAATTTACTATTGACTAGCTTCTCTTTTATTTAAAATAGCTTTTTTGCACTTTTTCCTTAACTAAGTATACTTTGTTTTTTGTTCACTTTCACTTTGTTTACTACAATAAAAGAAGAGAAAAAAAGAAATAAAAAGAAACAGCTGTCAAAAGTTCATATCCATTCTTTTCCTGCTTTTTGTGTGAACTATCACGGTTGCTAGGCAACAGAGCATAAGGCGGTGAAAGCTGGGAAAGGCTGGACCTTTTTCAAACCACAGCCAAAACTCTTTCTTCCTTCTTACTTTCACGGACTTGGAAGGACCCAGTCCAGATAGACGGGTCCTTGGAGGATACAGCGT